TGAAAGTGGCCAGACCTAAGAAACATAATTTGAAAAAAGTGTGTAGGAATGTTCATGTTTGCATTCATGTCAGAAATGTGCATAGGTCATCTTTTCTGTTCTGAAAAATGTCACATAGAGAGTGAGTTTGTTTTGTTCCCTCAAGGAAATTATAATAATCCTCAAATCTTTATTTTTATCACAAATCTTTTTTTAACCACTGATGATGCTCATGGCTGGCATTTCTTTGTGTTAGAACTCAAGAGAGGCCTAAGTATTTTAGGATCACCACTCCCTAGCCAGGTGCTGGTGGCTCACACCTATAATCCTAGCTACTCAGAAGGCTAAAATCTGAGGATCACAGTTCAAAGCCAGCCTGGGCAAGAAAGTTCATGAGACTCTTATCTCCAATTTAACATCAAAAAAGACAGAAGTAGAGCTGTGGCTCAAGTGGTAAAGCATTGCTCTAAGTTCAAGCCTTAGGACTGTTGCACGCACACACACACACACACACACACACACACACACACACAATATGATTCTGAACAAATCCCTCCAGCTGGTAAGTGTTCTTTTTCTGAGTCAGTAGGAAGATCACTGGATTCTTGCCTATTAAAACACCGGCTAGTAGCAATCCTCGAGGGCAGGGACCGTGTTCCTGAAATAGTTCTGAACAGCCCCCGGCATGAAGCTACATGAATTGGGATGCTTAATAAGGCTTGTTAGAGCAGGGGACAGCAGAAGTTCCTATGCCAGTTGGGCATGCCAAGGAGCCACTCAGCTGCTCAAGGGTGACCACAGGTTACTGAGGACAGAGCTCCCCAACTGTGTGCCACAGCATACTTACAGATGTTCTGAGAGAGCCAGACACTTGGCTCTCCAGGAAGCCAGGTGGGCCCACCCTGGCCCAGCCTCTGCACCATGCCACACAGTACACTTTCTATGTGTGCATTTCTCTATTTTTAATTTTTTATTGTTATTGTAAAGATGATGGGGGGGTTACAGTTACATGAGCCAGGTAAAGAGTCCATCTCTTTTGGGACTCTTGCCTTCTCCCAATTTTTTCCTCCCACCCCTACCCACAAGCTGTATGGCTCATTTTCAACCTAGTGTCCAGTGAGTACCATTGCTGCATTTGTGTGCATTTCCTCTCTTACTAATTGACCTCTTCCAGCTACTCTTGTAGACTGTCTAGATTTCTGGTTGGTTGATTGGCTATAGAGGGACAGTCATGTTATTACCAAGGAACATTTATCCAAGGAACACTGGGAAAGAGCAACCAAAAACCCTACAAGATTCAGCCTGTGAAAGCCTTTCACCACTAGATCAATATTTATCAAGCATTTAACATTTATCATAAGATTTATTTTTTTAAGTTTCAGATCTTGGAATAATCAATAGCTATTGGCTAACAATAGCATTGTTAATTACACCTTTCAGAAGTTGAAATTCATAGAATAACTATCTCTTATTAATTTATTCACAAAGCAGTTCTGCATGCATGCCTACTGTGTGCCAGATCTGTGGGAGGTGCTAGAGAGGCCATAAGTTTGCCATGAGAAATCCTGGCTATCAAAGAACTCACCACCAGACAAAGGGTGAACAAATGCAGCAGTGATATTCACTAGACACCATGTTGAAAATAAACTATACAATGTGGGGGTGGGGGTGGGAGGGAAACACTGGGAGAGAACAAGAGAAAAGGTGACATTGTTCAAAAAGAAATGTACTCTTTACAGACTTAGGTAACCATAACCTCTCTGTACATCACCAATAACAATGAATTGATGAGAACAAAAAAAGAACTCAACTCACCACTAGGTAAATCAAGAACATGTAATTCACTCTCTGGTGGGTAAGAGTCAGTGCAGATGGGTGTAAAATACCAGATGTCTTCTAAAGATAAGGGGCTACTAACCCTGGAGCAAGGGACCTAGAGCCACCAAAGACAAATGTCTTCCCCATGGAGAGAGCTGAAGGGTGAGCTCTGTGAAGTTATTTCCCAGAGTATTTCACAAGCATGATTTCAATGCATTACATGAGAAAGAAGTAGCAGCTGTCCCTGTGGGATATCTACCACCCCTTTCAAATTGAGTGTTCCAGGTAAGACCTTCAAGAGCTGCAGATTTCTTTCTGGGGTATTGCTTGCCTGCAATTGAGGAAACATGTCAATGACGTGTATATGACTTGCAAAAGGCCAGGCAAAAATCAGTGACTTCTGCTTTCCAACCATTGTTGTTTCCCCACCGTACCAATGGTCCATCCCGTGTCTAGAACAGTTGCTTAGACATGCTTGTGGTTTTCTTGGAATTGTCCTTGAGCCCTTATGAAAATACTGAAAAGTGATTGCAGAGGCCAGGGGCAAACTGTTACCACCTCTCATTGTAAGGGTTATCACAGCCTTTGCGATGCTGGTTATTTCATCGTCAGTCTTGTGTGGTCGCCACGGTCTTGACTTCTCATTCTCAACTCTTGGCCAGCACAGCTTTACTTTAGCCTTCTTGAGTGGTCTGTACTTCCGCATTTCAGTTTTGCCCATGCAGGGAAGCTGCCTTGCTGGGCACTGGTGGCTCACTCCTGTATATTCCTAGCTACTTGGGAGGCTGAGATCTGAGGATTGGGGTTCAAAGCCAGCCCGAGCAGGGAAGCTCATGAGACTCTAATCTCCAATAAATTACTCAGAAAAAAAAGCCAGAAGTGGTGCTGTGGCTCAAGAGCACTAACCTATAGCCCAAAAAGGCTCAGGGACAGAACCCGGGCCCAGAATTCTAGCCCCAAAGAAAGCTGCCTCTTGCTTAGTTTAATATGGTTTGGTTTAGTTTTAGTTTAATTTCAGTATTAGGATTTGAACAGGGCTTTGAACGAGTTAAGATACTCTACCATCTGAAACATACCCTACCCTGCTTCTTGTTTTTATTTTTTGAGGCTGGGCCATCAACTAACTGTTGGAACATGGTAATTTGTGGTCCTGAGTCATATATCTGGGCTCTGAGAAGGCACAGAATCTGGGATGCTAATTGTGAAGCATCAGAGAGGGCAGGCTGGACCACCAGTCTTCCACAGCTATCTAGAGATGGATAGCTCCACCTCCCCAGCAATCTCTCACCTATTCCACCCACAGACCTCCTTCAGTAAACCTAGCTCTCTCTCCCTCTGTTTCTATGACAAACTCATGGAAAAAAATCAAATATATATATGTATATATATTGGGGGGGGTCCGGTCGTGGGCCTGAAGTCTGGGCCTGGGTGCTGTCCCTCAGCTCTTCAGCTCAAGGCTAGCCACAGCGCCACTTCTGGCTTTTTTTTCTGCTTATGTGGTGCTGTGGAATCGAATCCAGTGCCTCATGCATGCAAGGCAAGCGCTCTACCACTGAGCCACCTTCCCAGCCCCAAAATATATATTTTAACAATCAACTACTTTCCATGTTTATATGGCCATTCATTTCAAATAAGCAATGCCTTGGGTTACTAAACTGAAACTGTCTCTTCATGCATAGAAAAATAAGAGATTCATAAGTGCCATTTTTGGTAGCCTTTGCTATCCAGAATCAGGTCTTGGGCTAAAGAGAAAACCCTTTTTCTGACCTAAGCAGGCCTGTGTCGCATGGTTCCGTGCAGCTTGAGAGAAGTGACTGGGAGTCAGTGATGGGAGTGAAGAGGCCCGCTGCAGGTCCTGGCTCTGCTGTGACTCATGAACTATGGGTCTGGCTGAACTGATCTCTCAGGGAAATAGACTATGATTCTGAAAATGGACTATGATTCTCCCACCCAGTTCTGAGTTTATGATACCAAGATTAAAATATAGATCTTCCAAGGGGTGGCAGGGGGAAGCTAGCACCTAACATGAGAAGCAATGGCTCAATAGAGGTATCTTTCAGGCCTAGAGGTGCCTGGAAACTGGCACTATTAACAAAATCCCTGCTTTGCCAGGTAGTATAAAGCTATCTCTTCCATAAATTCCCCCATTGACCCTTCATAGACCCTCCATAGACCCTTGTCTTTTGGCTATAACAGTATCCAGCTGATACAGTTCAAGCACATGTGAAAGAGCCAAATGAATTAACTTAGAAAGTATGTACATTTAATAGTGCAAATGTGTTCTACTATTCCAGGTAGCCACTGGGCCTTCTGATTCTGTTGTTCAAAAAGAACTCCAGGTAGAGCATATTTAACCTTCATGCCTTAGGGATTACCAAATACTCCAATTAGCAGGCCATGGATGGGACTAGAGGCATGCACTTTCACAAGTGATTTAATGCCAGCTGTGATAGCCTTAGGAAATATTGTGCCTTAGTGGTAAGAGTGGCCTCTGCCCTAGTGTGTGGCCATTGTAGACAATGTAATATAGAAGAGAACATACTCCAAACTCTTGCTTCTCCATAGCTTGATACTTGTCAATCTTTAATACGCACAGACATCATTTGGAACCTTGTTGAAATACAAATCCCAATTCCATCACTCTGGGCTAAAGCCTGGGATTGCATTGCTAACAAGCTCCCAGCTGATGCTAATGCTGGTCCAGAGGCCGGGATTTGAGTAGCAAGACTCTCTATCAGTATTTCTCAGCCCCAGCTGCATATTAGAGCCACGGGGATTAAAACCTTTAATCTCTTTAATAGGTATGGAATAGGGCTTGGGCAAAATTTTTCAAGCATCCCGGTAATCTAACATGTAGCCACAGGTTGGGTAGGAGGTATTGGCTGAAGAGTAGTGACTCAACAGCCAGGGGCAGCCACCTGTTCCTGCTGGTACAAAGTGTCATTAAATATGTTTAAGGCCGGCTCATCCATCTCTTGACCCAGAGGTAACTCAAGTTCCTATGGGAGAGGACATAGAAGTTGTCATGGGAGAATTGGAGCCACAGGTGTTTTATGTAAGGACTGATCCAGTTACTACTCTAGCTTCCAGGCTGTCCACGCTCTCCTCTGCAGCTTCTGACTGTATTCTTCCTGGCTCTCTGCTTGGCTCTCAGGGGTGTGGACCAGGGAGGACACTGACCTGTCTTTTCTTGCCCTGGCTAGGCAGCGGTGGGGAGGAGCTGCCCACAGCAGGCCCCAAGGCTGAGGAGGGCTCCGAGGCGGTGCTCCCCAGGCGCAGGAGTGTGTTCCACATCGAGTGGTCATCTATTCGGAGGAGAAGCAAAGGTGTGCATGTGCTCCCTCTCTTCTCGGCCTCTGGTCTCCTGTCCTAATGAACAGGAACAATGAGAGTCCCTCCTTTGCAGGCTGGTGGGGGGCCCGTGGGGGGCACTGGGAGGAGGGGTTCCTCATACCGGAACACTGACCACACTGATCATTCATGTGATGGGGGTTGTGATTGGTGACAGGCAGTGGGCATTTTTGGGACTAAGCCAGAGCGTGACCACACACAGGAACTACCTGCATCTCACCCAGCCCCTCCCCCCCCCAGGTTAATGCAATTCATCGAGAGATGCATTCTGGGCTAGCCTCCGAATCTTTTAGAGATCTTTATGCGGTTCTAGTCTGAAACCAACTCAAAAGCCACTGTGCATGCCAGAGTGTGTTAGTGGACACCTGTAATTATAGCACTCAGTTGGCTGGCACATTAAAAAAAGAATCACTGAGTCCTTACTATGTAGCAAGACCCTGCCAAAAATAAATAATTAAATAAAATAAATGGAAACACTAGTAGAAGAGGCTAGAGATAAAAGGGTATCACCTAAGACACTGATATGGGTGTCCAAGACACGGGAACTGATCAAAGGGAATGATGGAGGGGCTTCTCAAAGGCCAGAAGCAAGGCCCAGAGGATAGCAAAAACTAAGCAGCTGACAAAGCCAGAAACTTGGACTTGGAAGATGAGGGCAGGTTTGGGCAAACAGGAAGAACCTGGTGCAGGGGGGAGTATCCCCGTGAAGACAGGAATGAGTCCACTTCCACCCAACCTCAGAGAGGAGCAGGCCTGGCCAGAGGCACACAGCCAATAGGTGTAACTTCCGTCCCATGCCCCCCAGACAGTGCTTTAACGACAGTCTTCCTCCAATTTCCTAATCCCATCACTTCATATGACATCAGCCATACCAGAGCAATGCGCCTGGAGTGCTTATAGGAAAACCTACACGATGGACAGGGCATTGCAGATACTCAAGAGGTCTCTCAAGCCTGGGAGCTTATCTTTAATAGTGTGAAAGAGCATGGGTTATCTCAAAAAGTCCTCTTACCATCTCTCATGATTCTAGGTGGGATAAGACAGAGTACGTCTTGCACAGGACTTGGTTGCAGATGAGTGAAACCTGGCAGGCAGCGGGAACTCCAGAAATAAGTAGCTGGTTAGTCGGAAACACACACACACACACACACACACACACACACACACACACACACACACATTAGAGAGGAATCCTGTCTTGCTTCCCAGTCTTCCTTCCAAAGCTTTCAAAATTAATTTGTTGTTCCTACATATCCCAGTCACAATGTCCCAATCTCACTGACATTTGTAGTCCCAACTCCTTCCAAAAAGAAACATCCGGGCTGGGAAGGTGGCTCAGTGGTAGAGTGTTTGCCTTGCATGCTCGAGGCCCTCGGTTTGATTCCTCAGCACCACATAAGCAAAAAGAAAAAAGCCGGAAGTGGCGCTGTGGCTCAAGTGGTAGAGCACTCGCCTTGAGCTGAAGAGCTGAGGGACAGCGCCCAGGCCCAGAGTTCAGGCCCCACGACCGGACCCAAAAAAAAAAAAAAAAAAGAAACATCCTTTCTAGTGCTTAGACACCAATTCACAGGCTTGAATGGCCAATTCAGTCTTAAAATACAGTGGATAGGGGCTGCTATTCTCATACTTGACCACAGGAGGGAACCAGAGCACCAAGACTGAAACTTCCACGGACCTGATCTTTTTGCCAATACCTCCAATCCCTGATGGAATTGGTCACACTTAGAAATGTCACCCATAATAGCTAAGAATAGAGTCACATTACCAGAGTTTTCTAGAATTACAAGGACACACCAAAACGTGTTTGAAGTGGCTCCATGGATACCATTTTTTCTGATCCAAACTTCAATTGCTATTAAAACACTAAAATCACACAAAGAAAAAGGAGGGGAAAGCCCATACAGCCTGAGCTCATCCGGCTAGTGAGAGTCATAGACAAGTTCAAACCTATATCCTACATGGCTCAGGCAGGCTATGACTTTATGAGGAATAAGCAGAGGATTTCAACAATATCCCTGTTCCCTTCTCTGTACACTTACAAATTCTCCATGAAGCAAAGGAGAAAGAGCCCTGGATTCAGGGATCACAGACAAACCATTGTCCCCCTGGGATGCTGTTTCCTCATCTAAAAAAATAAGGGGGTTGAGCTAAGTCAGGGCTTTATAATTAAGGATCATTGAAGTCTCTGCACTCAACTGTATTCCTCAAGGAGAGGATGTAAATAAAATTCTGACCCGAAAAGGAAAAGAGGGGACTTTCAGCTACAAAATTATAGGTTTTATATGTCCTTGTGAAACAGGAAGTGCCCGTTAGTCTAATCTGAATCGTGCAGGAAATCCCTTCTAAGGTGTCCCAACTAACAATTCTCCTTCCCTTCAACTCCAGTGTTTGGAAAAGGTGAGCACCAGGAAAGACAAGGCAAAGAGTCATTCTCCTATCTATACCGGAAGCCAGCGGTGGAGTTGCTTGTGAGTATCCACCAGTCCAAGTCAGGGACTGAGCTTCCCACAGACTAACAGAGCTGAGAGCCAGCAAGGAGGTTCTGGTTGTAGGCAAAGTTTACTTGAACTTATTCTCAGAAATGTAATTATTTGGATTTTTTGTAATGTCTATTCTTTTTCAGTTTACTTTGTGAACTTTCTAGTTCCTATGAATTTTATATTATCAGGTTTCCTCCTAAATCAAACATTTAGGGAGTAAAACTCAGTCATTTTCAAAGACAGCATTTTTATATGGTCAATTCCTGACCTTGATGTTAATGAACAATTAAAATTTAAAGACTAGACATTATGAGGGGGGGGATGATGGTTTCTTCTAGAATAGGGAAAGTAACATTTTAAATAAAATAGGTAATGGATAGAATCTGGAAAAAAAATCTAAATATCCATGGTGAAATCTCAACGCCACCATTTGACCTTGATCTTTGTAAAGAAGACCTTCTGCATGCCTGAGTGCTCACACGCACAGGCATCATCTTCTTGTACATCATGGTGCTTTCCAGTATTGAATGAGGTGAGAGACATGCCAAACAGAACAAACGATCCCAGTCTACAGAAACAGGGATAATTAAATTGTAGATTTAAAAAAATCCACAGTGCAACTTTAGCTTGGTTCTCAAGGGGCCACAAAGTCACTTCTCATGGCAAACCACTGAACATGGACAATTCTTGCTCATCTCTTGTCCCTGCACAGGATCTAGACACCATGGAGGAGAGTTCTGAGATCAAGGTAGAAGCCAACATGTCCAAGACTTCGTGGATTCAGAGTTCCATGGCTGCTGGGGGGAAGAGGGTCAGCAGAGCCCTCAGCTACATCACAGGAGAGATGAAGGAATGTGGAGAGGGTCTTAAAGGTACAGTGCTATTAAAGCACCCCTAAAAAGTTTGTCTTGGTCATGGAAACACTTTACCAAGGAATTCTTTGGACCATCTGGGTTCTGTTCTTAGGGTCATCCAAGGAAGCTGAGAAATCTACCATTATAACAATCTCTTGGGATATAAATATCAGTATGTGTGTATGTGAGAGAGAGAAAGACAGAGACAGAGAGACAGACAGACAGACAGACAGTCAGACAGACACAGAGAGACAGACAGAGACAGAGAGAGACAGGCAGACAGACAGACAGACAGACAGAACTCTCATTTTGAAATAGAGAAATTCTACTTCCCAAATACCTCACTCAAATGAGCAAAATTAATGCTGTGTTTCCACAGCCAGCTAGGAGAAATGTTCACTAGATGGCTCACTGAAGAACCACCTATTAGGCCAGTGGGTCCTCTAACAACCCCTGGACCTCCGCTCACAGGTTTAATGACCTTTATGCAGTAAGAAGGTTTTTCTGGAAAGTTTATGGCACCCTCCTAGGAGGCACAGATAGTGCAGGGCACCTACCCGAAGTGCAGGAGGTGACATCAGACTGGCAACAAGTTTTCTAGTCCAACACGGTCTCTCTAGGGCTTTTTATTTACCCTTTTCCATGGCAGGTAACAGCCCACAGGTGACTCCCTGAAAACTGACTTGTTTTGCAGGGAGATTCTTACACACACACACATACACACAGCCTACCCCCCAGGCCTGGCCCATGCTTACACCAAGCACTTACTGACTTCCTCCGTTTCAGACAAATCCCCAGTGTTCCAGTTTCTCGACTGGGTGCTCCGAGGCACATCTCAGGTGATGTTTGTGAACAACCCCCTCAGCGGCATCCTCATCATCCTTGGCCTCTTCGTCCAGAACCCCTGGTGGGCCATCTCCGGCTGCCTGGGCACCATTGTATCCACCTTGACCGCCCTGGTCCTCAGCCAGGACAAGTAAGTCCCTCCAGACCCATTCCTCAAAGGACCATTCTCCTCCCTCTCACCTTCCCCTCAAAACAGGACACTAGCTAGGCACTGGGGGCCTCAAACATGTGATCCTAGCTCCTCAGGATCAAGGTTTGAAGCCAGCCTAGGTAGACAAATCCAAGAAACCCTCATCTCCAATTGAGCAGCAAAAAGTCAGAAATGGGAGTGTGGCTCGAGTGATAGAGCATCAGTCTTGATTGAAAAAGCCAAACATGAATGTCAAGCCCTGAGTTCAAGCCCCAGTACCAGAAAGAAAAGGAAAAGGCCCTAGTAACCAAAAGTAACTGCCCCCTGAATCTTTTTCATACACCCCTACTATGTAGGAAATGTAAAGGTCATTGGGGCTGATATCCTCATTCCCCACTCCCAGAAGGCTGACCTGTTTGAGAAAACCCTGACTGGAAATAAAGAAAACTTTAAATCCACGAGGGCCATTCCCACTCTTACCAGCCCCATCCTCATTTCCCCAGGTCGGCGATAGCAGCGGGGCTCCATGGCTACAATGGGGTGCTGGTGGGGCTGCTGATGGCCGTGTTCTCAGACAAGGGTGACTATTACTGGTGGCTTCTGCTCCCCGTCATTGTTATGTCTATGTCTTGGTAAGTTTGTCTCTGAGGTTGTGGGTTCCGGGCAAAGGGCCAACCCCATTTTTATCCTCATCCCATCGAAAGAACTATTTGTTTTGCCTGTATATCAGAAACTCTGACTTGCAATAAAAACCAACATTACACAGAGACAACACAAGGCTGGGTCACGTATAAACGACATCTCCTTAGTTACCCTTCCTTCTCTGGTTAAGATTGTAACCGGATTCTGATCACACCCCACCAGAGCACAGAAGACCACTAACGTTAAGAGCTGCAATAGGGTCCTTTCAATTCCTAGAAATCTTATCACCTCTGCTCTCCAAGCTTTTCTCTTAGCCTACGCCTCCTGATCAGACCAAGATAATCTTCCAGGGAAGACCAAGGACCAGCCACAGACAAAGCCCTCAGAACACAAGACCCCTCCCTTGCTTCCAGAAATTGCAGGGCTTTCTGACCACTCTTGACCATTCAAAAAAAAAAAAAAAAAAACCATAGTGTAGTGATTACCTCCCCTCAGTTCCCCAAAACTTAAAAAAAAAAAAAAAAAAACCATAGTGTAGTGATTACCTCCCCTCAGTTCCCCAAAACTTTTCTCACTCCTCCTGCCTGAGGCTAGAACTCGGTCTCTTCCAGAAAGTTTTGAGCTTGCCAGGAAACTCTGGAATTGAGTGTGGGCCTCCCGCCCTGTCTCTTCAGAGTGGAGTTCCCAAGAAAGGCCTGATTAGAGCAGAACAGGCCTGGGGGAGATGGCCAGCAAACTGCTTTATTCCAAGAAAACTAGATCTCATGTATGCTACTGCGCCATCTTGTGTTAGGTCCGGGTATCTACCTGACAGCTTTTGCTTCTTCCCCTAGCCCCATTCTCTCCAGTGCCCTGAGCACCATCTTCAGCAAGTGGGACCTTCCAGTCTTCACACTGCCCTTCAATATCGCCGTGACCCTGTACCTGGCAGCCACCGGCCACTACAACCTCTTCTTCCCCACGACGCTGCTGCAGCCTGCATCTGCTGTGCCTAATCTCACCTGGTCAGAGATCCAAGTGCCCTTGGTAGGTATTATGGAAGGAGGAAGGGCAGTGTTTATGAAATGCTCGATGCCATTTACTTACTTGACCCATCTGAAACATCCACAGGTGACACTTATTAACAACTACACAGCACTAAGCACTTGGCATACTTATCCCGTTCTTGTCTCTTTATAAGAGCTGAAGTGCTATTTCTGCCCTTTGTGTCATCACTGAGAACAAAACAGGGGTCAGGATAAGAAACTTAGCCCAGGTGGCTCCCGCCTGTAATCCTAGCTACTCAGGAGACTGAGATCCGAGGACCACGGTTCAAACTCAGCCAAGGCAGGAAAAGTACATGACACTCATTCAAAAAGCCAGAACCAGAACTGTGCCTCAAGTGGCAACATGCCAGCCTTCAGTGCAAAAGCTAAGAGACAGGGCCCAGGGCCTGAGTTCAAGTACTAGTACAAGCCCAAAGAGAGAGGGGGAGGGAGGGAGAAAGAGGGAGAGGGAGAGGTTCCATAGAAAGTTCCGGAGAAAATCACAGAAGAACAAAGCCAAGACTAGAACAACAGCCTCTGGACTTCAGGCTTACCTTCTTTGCTGTTTTTTGTTTAAGAGTCTCTCGCGTATGCTTTGGTCCAGTTTTAATGCAACTTACCCTGTTACTTTCATTCAGTTGCACTGAATCATTAAAGGTATCCACACCTTGCTATTATGTATTGGCTTAAGAAGTCCCTGTTTTTAAGAACTCTCCAGAGTTTTCTTCCATTTGCTTTTGAGGCATGCTTCTATATTAAAGCTCAGATTATCCTCCATTTAGAAACACATACAGCAGAGTTCAAGTTAAGATGACAAAATTTTGCTCCATTTACAGCTAAGCTATTTGAACAGAAATGTCTCGGAAACCTGTTGCACGATGTTAGTGTTATTTTTGAGAGGCTACAGTAGGGGGATCATGGGTTCAGGGCCAGCCTGGGATACACAACAAGACCTTGTAAAAAAAAAAAAAGAAAAAGAAAAGAAAAGGAAAACAAGGGGCTAGGAATGTGGCTTAGTGGTAGAGTGCTTGCCTTGCATACATGAAGCCCTGGGTTCGATTCCTCAGTACCACAAACACAGAAAAAGCCAGAAGTGACACTGTGGTTCAAGTGGTAGAGTGCTAGCCTTGAGAAAAAAACAAGCTCAGGGACAATGCCCAGGCCCTGAGTTCAAGCCCCAGGACTGGCAAAAAGAAAAACAAAACAGCATGCTGAACCTTTTATAGAAGAGGTCTAAATTGTCTCTTTAAGCTCCATAGCAAACAAGTAGCTCTGCTCTTCCTACAGCTTTTGAGAGCCATCCCTGTCGGAATCGGCCAGGTATACGGCTGTGATAACCCCTGGACTGGAGGCATCTTCCTCATAGCTCTGCTTGTATCTTCGCCGCTCATTTGCTTGCATGCAGCCATTGGATCCACCATGGGGATGTTAGCAGGTCTGTGTCTCCACTCCCCCAAGTTAACGGGCTCTAGGGACAGTTGTGCCTGCTGGCAGCTCCAAGGAAAGTGGTGACATGTGTCTTTAACACTGGATCAAATTCCTGGAAACTTTCCCCTTCTATTATATTCTACTTATAGTGCTAAGGCCTTCATGCTCCTCCGTGCAACACCTTAGTGTAACTTTAAAGTCAGGAAAAGTTTGCTTTCCAGATATAGTTTTAAGTCTTATCTCCAATGACAAAAGGAAGGAAAGGGGCATGTGTGTGTGTGTGTGTGTGTGTGTGTGTGTGTGTGTGTGTCTAAGGAAGGACAATCAGACTTCAGGCTCTTTACTCAAAGTGTTTCTTCAGCTCATTACAGCTAGCCACTAATAGTCACGTGGCTCTATATATTTACGTATTTCTTTTCTTTCAATAAAATCAGAAGCTCTATTTTTAAAATAAATAACTGATTCTGTGCTTTGAGGACTGTGGAGGCTTGGGACGGGCGGGTGAGCTCTAAAAGACCCAAAGTCAACACAGACGCCCTTCTTCACAGCTCTCAGCATTGCCACGCCCTTTGACTCCATCTACTTTGGCCTTTGTGGCTTCAACAGCACGCTGGCCTGCATCGCCATCGGAGGCATGTTCTACGTCATCACCTGGCAGACACACATCTTGGCCATTGCCTGCTGTAGGTACCACTGACAGATTCCCTTCCATCTCAGATGATACTAGATCTATCCCCAAAACAACTGCAAGAATGAAAGAGAGAGGGAGGGAAGAAGGAAGGAAGGGAGGAAGGGGGAGGGAACAGGGAGGGAGTGAGGGAGGGAGGGAAAGGTAAAGAGAAGGAGGGAGGGAAAGAGAAGAAAGAAAGAGAGAAAGGAAGGGAGGAAGGAAGAAAGAAAGGAAGGAAGGGAAAAAAGAAAAAAGAAAGAGTGAGTAATAACCACTTAGAAAACCACTTCTGGCTAGAACTGGGCAGTTTACATCATACAAAACAATAAAGCTGAAACCTCCATGTATTGACCATCAACCCCTTCAAGTGATCCCTCTTGGTTGCATATTTGTTCAGAGTCCAGCAAATCAGATTGACTAGAACAATTTGGTTTGTTTTCATATGCTTATAAACTTTCATCATATTCTTGAAACTATCCAAATCAAAACCAAATAAAATTCATTTGGACTAAGACACTTAAAACAGAGATGCCATTTCCATATATCTGTAGATAATGAGATTTAGATATAAACTTTAACAAAAAATAAGTGTACATTATAAAACTTCTAAACTATCCTTTGCTAGATGTGTTCTGGATCAGAAATGTGAGTTTCCTTAATTTACTTTGAAGATGTTTTCATTTCCATTCTATGACAGTCAATACAAAGATATAGAAAACAAATTCTAAACTAGATATGAAGGGTAAAGTTGCTGTCTTTTCCTTTCTTCCCTTCTAAAATTGTTTTCTGCCACCCCAAAATTTCAATCGAAGTCTAGCATAGCATAGTTACTTAAGAAATAAGAGCTGTCAGATTGACCAAATGAAAGGTAAGGTAGCCCACCTAGCATCTACTGCTAAGTAGGCACTTTTAAATACTTCATCTCTACCCCAACACCAACTCTCCATGATTGGTATTATTATTTTACCTGGCAAAAGAGGGAGAAAATGTATCAATGATCAGAGTCAGGACTCGACTAAGAGGAGGGAGGCAGCTCATATGCAACATTAAAGGTGCTCAGTGTCAGGACCATGTAAGCAATGAGTGAGGTTCCCTTCCTCCTAGGACAGCAAAGGAGATGCTCCTGGCATCTAGTAGGGAGAAGCCAGGGATGCTGCTACACATCCTCCAACTCAGGGGGCAGCTCCCCAGCAAGGAACATTGATGGTGCCACACCTGCAAAACCTGACGGGTGGCATCTCATTGTAATGCTCACTGTAAAGTACTCAGATGCTATTGCTGCCCCGTTTCACAGATGAGGGACTGAAGCAATGGGAGTCAAATCAATGATCCAGAGTCAGGCAGGTCTGTTATACCATTCTCCTTCCTGAAGCCAGGGCTCCCTCTAGAGGTGGAAGAAAAAAAAGATGCAGGGTACCTGGGCCTTTCATAGTCCCGCAGCCAGTGCTGCTCTGCACATAAGGCAGCATGCCATTTTTCCTTCTTTCCTGTCTCTCTCCTGACTCTGCAAGCCCTGCATACATGAGTGTGTGGGAGGTTTTCAGAGGTTTCCTTGGTCACAGGTAGAAGTTGATCAAGACCGGGAGGGTGAGGAGGGCATGTGAAGGAGGCCTTCAACTCCTGCCCAGCAACCATGGGAGAGTTGAATGGAATCGAGCTCGGCATAGGCCACTCTCTGAGCCTCCCCTCTTCGCAGGCTTAGCTCTGGTCTTCACAATGCTTTTGGGTTGACCCCTTTCCTCCTCCTGCCTCTTCCTAACCTCGGGCTGCAGCACCCTGTGAGGAAGAATACACTTGCAGCCAGATGGCCACAGCTCTGTCAGCCGCAGAACGCTGGGCAGACTACGTCCACGCTCAGTGCCTCACACCACCAGTGCTCGCCTCCTAGAGCTGGTGTCAGCATCAAATCAGATCATCTGTGGGTACCACCTCTAACGTCTAACAAATGGCAGGAAGCGTCAGCCCTGATAGCTGTATTCAAAGAAATGAATGAGGACGCAGCCGTGCCCAAGGCTGCATGTTCTCTTATTTCCTTCCAGAGAAGGAAGCTGGCTGGTGGGACCCAGGAAACTTGCCTGCCCTATACCCTACTTTATCTAATCCATTCCTGTATTTCCTCTCCTCTTCCACCTTGAATCCTCACCTTAAAAACAATGGATTGGGGGCTGGGAAGGTGCCTCAGTGGTAGAGTGCATGCATGAAGCCCTGTGTTCGATTCCTCAGTACCACATAAGCAGAAAAAGCCAGAAGTGGCGCTGTGGCTCCAGTGGTAGAGCGCTAGCCTTGAGCTGAAGAGCTGAGGGACAGCATCCAGGCCCAGCGTTCTGCCCCCATGTCCGACAAAAAAAGAATAAGGGGGATCTTTCTACCTCACAAATAGACAACCCAGTGGTGTTATTTAACCTCTTGGAGCCTCAATTTTCTTGCAAAATTAAGACTATGCCAGTGCTTGCATTTTAGGAATGCTGAAGGCTACAGAGAGTGTGGCTATGTGCTGGGTGTGTAGCCATTCTCTAATAAAGGTTAGCGTTGTTAGTATCCCAAAGACAGCTGGGATGTGCTCTCTTGAGAAATTAAGGCTCCAGATGCAAAGCCCAATTACACTGGCCATTTTCATCGCCTCTGACTTCTCTTCCCAGCAGGCTCTTCTCAGCAGCCCGCTTGGTCATACCCTCCTTTGCACAGCCTGAGAGACAGGGCAGTAGGCCTATTTGGTTTTCCTCGAGTTTACAGGATGTTGCTAGTCCCTTGAAACCCATATTATGTTAATACCTTGTGATGAAATATTCCAGCAGGGACTTCTGGGATTCACTTGCCTTCACTGTATAGTAAAATTTTCATTTATGGTTTATGCTGTTAAATGTTCCTTTACTGGAATGCAAGGTGGTGAGACCCAAGAGAACTGTAACAGCTAAATTCTGGCCCTTTTTTAACAAAGTTCATCTGCTGTCTTAGCAATGCAGGCATTTGCATGGAATTTAACACTTTTAAAGCTGCCAAGCATAAACACGACTTGGTTGGTGTTCGTTGAATCTGAGAGATGGCATTTGTAGCATAAAATAAATGAAGAGAGACCGTGGGGATTAAGCTTGGGATGATGGTAAAGCATCACTGACTGTTTATGGTTGGTTCTTCTTCCAGCACTGTTTGCAGCCTACCTGGGTGCCGCTCTGGCCAACATGTTGTCTGTGGTAAGTCTCTGGGGGCTACAAACATGCCCACATGCTCCCTCAATCTCCCAACCCGTAAGTATCACAACCCTTCCTCCTGGAACCCTTCCCAACTTCCATCTATTCTTGTATCAAGTCCCACTGCTCACCTTAACACCTTAGGCCACAGGAACTCAAATGTCAATGGCAGGTCAATCAAATGCCATTGTCGGTGGCAGTAGAGCTCTTTATCGAGCAATCTGAAGAGCACCATCTTGAAAATCTAACCCCTTTCTATTTTACCATCCTCCAGAACTATTTTCCTTCTTCACTCCTGGCTTGCAAGCCAGGGCACATTTGTCCCATAGGAACTCTCATCTTTGCACAGAGAGACTGGTGTCATCAGCAAGGGCTTTAGGAAACATTGCAAGGACAAACCCTAACCAATCAGAGAGAAGTGTGGGCTGGTGGCTTATGGGCACACACAGCAGTCTCAACAACCTATTCTTTGTCTGGGCCTAGTCTGGGTGTTCTGTGAGGTCAGGAACAGCCACCTGGCCAGCGTAGGCCTGGTATACAGTGCTCAAAGCTCAGCTCACAGCCAGTGTCTCTCTGTTTTAGACAGAGTTATAAGAGAAAGTTCACATGGAAGGGGAAGGTTCATCAGTCCTGCAGATGGGAAAGGCATAGACACTCCACTCACATCTGTTTAAATCTCCAAGGAAAACAGATGCTTTGGACTTAGCCTCAGAACGTATTTCCTAAGCACATTTAGCCTTCTCTTATACTGTCCTACAAACAAAATGAAGTTCACTTCCTGTGTGCCCTCTCTGTTGATGACGTTTCGCTGACCAGTGTCAGGAAAGTTCAGGCTCTTGACAGATCCAGGAGTTCCTCATTGAGGAACAGGATATAAAGATGTTGAACTACATTTATGAAACTGTTCGAGCTCTCCTCAGAAGAGCACTTGTGAGCCATATTCTTTTGCTCTCTAGCTGGTGCGCATATGTGCAGCCGTGGGTCTTCAACAATGCAGCCATCTGCTTGATGGCAATCATGTCCTGAGGACCATTTATTGAATACTTAGTGTACACAAAGCACCAGCTCTCTGAGTCAGTATTGTTACTCCCGGTTCCTGAGAAAATAGGCCTCAGAAGGCTGAAATGATGATAACAAGGGGATATAATCTGAGATTTGGATCTGGGTCCTTTCTACTGTAGGACTCCACCGAGCACCTTGTGCTTTCTCGGTGGGACTTGGTGACAAGACTCCCTGAGTGGAAATCAGGGCTCACAGGAATTCCTTATGGCCTTGTGCTGGCACTGTTCTTGTTCTCCAAATCCCTCCCAACATCTTTGGGCTTACACCTGGCCAATGTCATTTACTCCCTTGATGCGACCTGCGGCTCCTACTACTGCTATCATAAAACATTTGGGGGAGATGGGACGTGATTTGATCTACCTCATAGTTACATTCATAGGCTGTCTGCAAACTGTCCACTGGAGCCATCTCAAATGAAGAGTATGCTCAAAGGAGGAGGATATAAATGTCCTTGATCATCTCAAGGAATAAAAAGCAAGTCAGGATGAGAAAGAGACATGGGACCTGAGAGCACTTCAGAAGAGAGGCAGCTACTCTTCATCTCTATTTCTCAGGAACAAGGCCATGAGTCTCTGTAAAGGGTTTCTGCTGCTGTCAGCTTGTAAATGATACCATCTCTGTGTGGTTTTCCAGGCCTTTCAGTTCAAGAGCTCTATAGATAAAGTGTTGGTGCCTATGAGTTCTCATTCTCAAAAGAGGGATTCTATTGGCCCAAATTGTGGGCCTATGGGATGCTGTGTTTGAGTCAAGTGTCTACACCTGAGTCAAGTGTGTATATCTACTCCAATCTATGACATGAGAAAAACGTCTTGAGATACAAGGAGTCCAAAGACACTCCTTCAACAGGGCTTCCGAAAGCAGGCACAGAACTATCACAGCTCCTACAACCAGATGAATAGCCTGACCAGATTCCCCACCACCACCAAAAAACCATATCTTCTACGTAAAGGCATATTAAGCCCTATTACCATTCCAATAGCTATACTTTGAAGAGTATGTCTTTACCTGTTCCAATGCAGACTGTCACCAGTGACATACATGATTTTATTTATATTGGCACCCAGTCCAACATTCCCCTTAGCAATGCCCACAAAGCATCTCTCTTCTTTCCAGGGTTGAGGGGATTTATAATGGCTAATTAAACAAGCTCTAGGGTTTTTTGTTTGTTTGTTTAGTTTGGTGGTGGTGGTGGTGGTGCTGGTGTGTGTGTGTCTGTCTGTCTGTATGTATGTATGTTCACGTGACTGAAGCACTTCTCCTGTCCCTCTCCTTCCAGTTTGGATTACCACCATGCACATGGCCCTTCTGCCTCTCAGCGCTCACCTTCCTGCTCCTGACGACCAACAACCCCGCCATCTACAAGCTCCCCCTCAGCAAAGTCACCTACCCAGAGGCCAACCGCATCTACTTCCTATCCCAAGAGAGGAACAGAAGGGCATCGACCATAACAAAGTACCAGGCCTATGATGTCTCTTAAGTTGCCAGTTCCAAAACACATCATTGTAAATGTAGCTGTGATCAGGTAGCTGAAGACCTCTTTAACTTCCCCTTGAAGGTCCACCCCGGAAGACTTCTTTAACTCCCCCATCAAGCACAGGAAATGTGTGGGCTGTCTCCCTCCAGGAGCCTCTCTAAGACACACAACACTTGCCAAAGCTCTGTTTGGTTCAACTTCGTACCCACAACTAGCTCTATGAAAACACCCTTTAACGGAGACTTTCTAGTCACACCACTCACTCATGTAATATAGCACAGTGCCAGAAAATGGTCTAGTCTAGAATGCAAGAGAGTTGGACACACACACACGCACACACACACACACACACACACACACACACACACACATATACACACCCCAGCTCGGCCACTAATCAGTTCCATCTGTCTCAGGCAAGTCCTTCCTGAGCCATCTTAGCCTTGATTTCTTATTGGCAGGGATTTCTTTATGACAGGAAGGGTCTCTAAAACCTCTTCTGCTTCTGAAGCACAGATTCTTCTCTGTCTCCTGTAAATTGATCAAATCAGCATGACCAGCAAGCAGCAAGTAATTGCTGAGTTGAGAAACAGATGGAAGGGTTACCCAGAGGAGAGGCAGAAAGTGTTGATGTTTGGGGGTGCGGGGGGGACTGGGAGAGAAGGGGAGTCTTCTTGGGTCATGGAAAAGTATCTCCAGACTGGGGATTAGAAACTGAGCGTGTCAATGTGCCTTCCTTTACGTAACAGAAATGTTCCTGGGAATATTCTAAAATAATATCTGATCATTTCCAGCATCGAAATCATACTGTGAAGCGATTATTTCTCTTTTTGTAATTTTCATAGCCACACTCGCATTAAACTGTTTAAATTTCAAGTTGGTGTCAGGCTTTTCTTTAAATGGGGCTTGTCTATGTGCACACATTCTGCCCATTTGTGGGAAACCCCTTTGTATGTCTGAAAGGAGACAAGGTGGGCTAAGAATAATCAGAAGAGAGCCAGGTGTGATAGCTTATATCTGGAATCCTAGCTTCTTAGGAGGCTGAAATTGGGAGGGTCATGGTTTGCAAACCAGCTCAGACAAAAAGTGTATGAGAACAGAAAAAGCTAGGCACAGTGATTCGTGCATATCATCTGAACTAAAGTGGGAAGCATAAACGGAAGGATCATAATCCAGGTTAGCCTGGGCAAAAAGTGAGAACTTACATCAAACATAACTGAAGTGGGGCTGGGAAGGTGGCATGCCTTGTATGCATGAGGCCCTGGGTTCCATTCCTCAGCACCACAAAAGCAGAAAAAGGCGGAAGTTGGTGCTGTGGCTCAAGTGGTAGAGCGCTAGCCTTGAGCTGAAGAGCTGAGAGACAGTGCCCAGGCCCAGAATTCAGGCTCCATGACCTACCCAAAAAATAATAAAATAATAACCAAAGCAAAAGAGGTTTGGAGGTATGGCTCAAGTGGTAGAGTGCCCGCCTAGCAAGTGGGGGGCTCTGAGTTTAAACATGAGTAGCTCAAAAATAATGACCAGAATAGGGCTTGAGAAGAAGAGGAGGTGCACAGCAATGACTATGGACATTGCTGTCCTAATTCACAGGTCTTCTCTATGGAAAGACCCATGGTCCAGCTCTCCCACCCTTCTCCAGAGGCACACTAGCCTTTCCTAGCCACACTGAGATGCCAACACATACTTCCAGTTCAGCATGATCAGTGATGGCATAAGAAGAGGGAGAAGGCCGGCGCCGGTGGCTCATGCCTGTAATCCTAGCTACTCAGGAGGCTGAGATCTGAGGATCGCGGTTCAAAGCCAGCCCAGGCAGGAAAGACCCTGAGGCTCTTATCTCCAACAAACCACCAGAAAACCGAAGCGATACTGTGGCTCAAGTGATAGAGCACTAGCCTTGAGCTGAAGAGATGAGGGAGAGCGAGCGCCCAGGCCCAGAGTTGAAGCCCCACAACCGACCAAAAAAGGGGGGGAGGAAAGGGGAGGGAGACAGGCCCTTTACAAACACAGCTTTAAAGAAGAATTACATTTTAATCAAAATCCATCCTTTAAAAAAAAAAAGAAAGAAAGAAGACTCTTAATTCCAGTTAACCACAAAAAAGCTGGAAATGGAGCTGTAGCTCAAGTGGTCGAATGCCAGCCTCAAGCAAAAGAAGTAAGGGACAGTGTGCAGGCCCTGTGTTCAAGCCTCAGCACCAGTATATATTTGTTTTAATAAGTTTGGGGCTTGAACTCAGGGCCTGGTGCTATCCATGAGGTTTTGTTGTTGCTGTTCAAGGCTAGCATTCTACCACCTTGAGCCATAGCACCACATCCAGTGTTCTGGTGTTAATTGGAGATAAGAATCTCATGGACTCTTCTGCCCCGACTGGCTTCAAACAGTAATCCTCAGATCTCAGCCTCCTGAGTAGTTAGGATTACAGGCGTGAGCCACTAGTGCCCAGCTTCAATGTATTGTTTTAAGCTGGTTTCCATGTTTATCTTTTCTCTCTCTCTCTGGTCTGAGATTCCAGCCATCTCTCACCAGCCCAGGAAGGAACACTGGGCCATATGTCTCTCTCTTGCAGCCCATTTTGACCTCTTCAGGAACATGGAGTTCTTCATACAAGCGAATTCTCCATGTAGGAAACCGGAATGACTCATAGCCCATAGCTACCTCTGAGTCTGTGATCACACCTTGAGGCCAAGAAGGTCTCAGCCTATAGTTTAATGACCATAGAATTGTAGCTCTCTGAGGATCAAGCATCCAGAAATTTCACCAGAAGGCTGTTTATGCTCACGGCTCACTCAGCTGCCCCAGAACCTCCAAGTGATGACATCAAACTATTAAAAGTACTGGTTCTCATGCATTTCCACCAAAGCCTTATAATCTAGTTTTATTAAAAGCAGAAACCCCACCATATGCATACTATTCTGATTATTGACCACTAATAAAACCCTTCAGCTGGTCTAAGTACTTCAATATCCTTGCCTATAAAGCAAACTGTGTTGGCCCAGGATTCCAGGCAAAGTGGAAATAGACGGGGTGAGAGAATGCAACTCATGAAAATATGTCACGTCTACAGGACAGCAGAGTAATGGATCCAGTCCCACCCTTCAATTGAGCATCAACAGGAGAGAACCGGAACCAACCCCACCACCAACTCCCGAAAAGTATTGTCTCAGCACCATTCAGCAACATCACACTGAGAGCATAAAATCAGCCGTGGTGGAAGTATTTATACCACAGAGACTGGCAGAGTCTCTGGGCATGTACATAAAATAACAACACCCATTTTGCAAATACACATACATACAAAAAGTACACTGGAATGTGGGAGAGCAAACCAAATGTGACATAAAAATAAAATCCATGCCATCATGGATATTCTCAAGAGAGAGGCCTCGCCGGAGACAATGGACCCACCAAAGCCTAAGTCACATGATTAACGCAATCCTATCAGGAAGTAAGTAAATAAATAAATAATACAAGGGACAAACATACAGTTGCAACTCCATAGAACTAGCTCATGTGTGACAGAGTAGCCCTGAGAACGATTTGGTCGAGTAACCGGCTGCAGCAAATTCCTGCCCCATGCTCTCTTAACCTTTACAGAATCCAATCACTTCTCATGGCTGGTGTTCAGGGAAAAAACTCTTAATTTTAATTGGGGGGTGGTCACTCATGGGACCTGAACTCTGGGCCTGGGCGCTGTCCCTCAGCTCTTCAGCTCAAGGCTGGCACTCTATCACTTGAGCCACAGCACCACTTCTGAGGAATCGAACCCAGGGCCTCATGCATGCAAGGCAAGCACTCTACCACTGAGGTACCTTCCCAGCCCTGGAAAGAACTCTTAGACATGGTTTTTACCATCTAACCCTCACATTCCTATCAGGGGCATTCACATCAAGCCCCAGCATGCACTCTTCTGCAGCCAGCTCTTTCTCCAGAGCTTCTGCAGCTTGAATCCCTCAAGCCATGAAACAGTCTCAGGTGAGGCAGGTAGATGGCAAATCAGCGGCTATTAGACCATAGTGTGTACCACATTCACCACTGGAGTTTATTTAACAGACAGGGCCCTCATGCACAGAGTTAGAGGCAGCAGATCTGGGACAGAGCCTGGCAATCTGCATTTCTAAGTTCTTCTCAGGCCGTGCTACCACTGTGAGTCTGAGGGCCCTCTTCCAGAGTCACGAGTATAAACTCTGAACTAAGATCGTTGCCCTAAATACCTCTTTGCCCTTCATTGCATGGTGTAGGAAACAGCTTGCAAACGCTCATTCAGATAGGAATCACCTGCGTTCCTCAGAGCTGAAGATTTAGACTCAGTAGATCCAGATGGAGCCTTCCAAAACTCGTATTACACAAATGCGGTTGGGTCGAGGTCTTGCATTTGAGATCACTACATAGTCTCCTACTCCTTGACAGAAGAGAATCATTCTACCCTGGACGAATCAGCAGTGGGATTGGGCCGTGTGTGTTTTTAAAGCTCCTGCAGTATTCTAATGAGCAGCCAGGGCTGAAAACACGTTGGGGACTGTTTCCTAGGTCCCAGTGCCTCCAATCAGAGTCACTCCTGGAGGTTCTCAACCCCCTATCTGAGTCCCCAGGTGGGTTGTATGTAAGGTGCAGACAGTCCACAGAGAAGCGCGGAGCACTGGAGGCAGAAGGCAGATGTACAACACAGAGAACCCTCAACTATGAAGCCTATCTCTTTCTCAGTGTTGTTGGGGGGCCCAGACTTGTACCCTGTTAGAAACTAAATAAAGAAAACTGAAGCCACTTACCAGAAACATCCGGTTCAGTAGACCAAGCAGACAAACAAGCTCTTGCATTGGCCCGGAAGTCTGCTAAGCGAACGTAGTGGTCCTGGCAAGGAGAAGGAAAGCAACGAGGTCGCCAGCAGCCCCTCCAACCACATGGCACTGGGTCTGGCAGTTCAGGCCTGGTGGAGTCCTGGGGCTGCCAATAAGATACAGCCACGGGCCTGTGAGCAGGTAGGAATGGAGAGCTGCGTGGGGGTGGGGCTCGAAGGTGGGAGGTGTGTAGAGGTGCTGACAGCGGCTGCTGAGGATGGGCATGAGGTGTGATGGCTCGGGAGACCAGCTGGCAGGAAGCTGGCAGCCAGTAGATAAGAGGGAAAGGAGTAGAAGAAAAGCAGAACACAGACACAAGTGAAAGAGCAATGCCCATGGGCCTGGTGGTACAGGAAAGGAAGAGGGAACACAGATTGGTTGTCATGTACAAGTTAAGAAGGCTCTAGAACTCTGAAAACTTCCCAGGGGGGCTGGGATGGGACAGGGATGAGAGGTGGCTCTCACTCCTCCCTCTACCACTTGCTTGCTTCTTGTGGGGTACGTCTGAGACACGAGGATCTACTATCCTGTTGGAGAGAGACCGGCACCTGTAGCGTGGCCTGAGCATATGAGACTTGATCAGGCAGGGAGATAGGCAATTCATGCAGCCAGGTATGTAAAAATCACCATGCTCAGGCCTGGCCCCCTCAGAATCCTTGGGTATCGCCCACACACTCCATGGAAGATAAAGAGGCATGCCTCATGCCATCAGCATTCTGAAGGAAGAAGCTGAAGAAGAAGGTTTTCGAGAAAGTGGGAGGAGCCCCGAGGCAGCATGACTTTGTCATAGAGGTTGTCTCTGCCCCTAGAGTCAGAGGTGATCTGCGATTGGCTCAGCTCTTGAGCTCTAAGTCTGGATGTTTATCCTGTACTCCTAGTCTCTCTAAAGACCTGTAGAAGCTGCACATGGTGGCGCACACCTATAACCCCAGCACTTGGGAAGCTAAGCAAGAGGATCTTTATCTAGCAAGACTTAGGCGCAACAAAACAACAACAAGCAACAACAAAAATGAGATCTATGGAATCCTGTGTCATTCATCTGG